CTAAGCCGGGACGAGGTCGGGTTTTGACAAAGAACAAGTTCCTGACCAGCTCCAGGAAGTGCCGAGCCTTCTGATTTCTTGGAGAACACGTTTCTTATTGTCTAGTTTATTCTTTAATTGATATCAGATGTAAGTACATGGTTTTTGAACCACAAAACGATTATAAGTACATGGTTTTTTAGGAGAGGAGAGCTAGCACATTTTTTATTCAATTCATTCTGTAATTGTGATCAGTTTATGTACAATTGTAATTCAAGTTTCTCGACTCCAACTTCTCTTGATCAGTTTTGATTATAAAGCAAACTGAAACACACGAGTGGTTCAATTTGAGCGATTTTTTCCCGTTGATTTTCTCTCTGCTTTGATCATTTTCAAGTTTTTCTCACTTCTCTTCACAGCCTCTCTCTCTCTCTCTGATTTCTTAACCACAAAATGATTATAAGTACATGGGTTTTTGTTACAGCAATGCCAACCAGTATTCCTAGTGCTTTGATAGACAAGGGTCAGAGCCGAGTTGTAGATGTTCCTAGTGGTAAGGGTACCTATTTTCCATGTTGGGTACCTATTTTCTTAATCGATAATATTTGCACTTGTTTTCCCTGCATTCGAAGACTATAATCTCTATAACCTTACACGTATAGTTAATGCATCTCTGATTCTTAAGTATAAACTTCCACAGGAGCTTTGCCGTTAGCAAAAGTAGCACTTTTTCTGTTGGCCTCTGTCAAGAGAACAAGGAAATCGCTTCGGTGTTGAGCAGTATGAAATGGAAACCTTTTCAAGAGATCGTCATTTTTTCGGTCCCTCTGTTTCTCTCTTTTGTTCCTCCTTACTTTCCTATGCATATCCATCACTATTTGTGCGTCTTATCATTATGACAAATAAGCAAATCATGAAACCATACAATCAAGGTCTGATAATTGCATAGCATCCATACCGAGAGTTATAATTGCATGCCATCCATACCGAAAGTAACTCTCAAGAATTTTTTGTGACAGATATTAAGGGAAGGTGTGAAGGACGTGTACATCTAAAGTTGAAATAAAAACTTATCAAATTATGCGGTGCCAAAAATTTGAGAATAGTGCCTGATCCATTCGTTGAACATGATTAATTAAGATTTCCTAAAAACCCGGATCTTCTATATTCTGATGTACTAATAGCAAAATTCGACAATCACCAAATTAAAAGAACAAAACTTCAAAACAGCATTCATTTCAGCAAAGTACCGCACAAAAAACAGTAAATAAGTAAACAAGGTCCTTCGATGACTAAAATCATTCAGCATCTCAATCTTCCTCCTCCCCTTCATTCTCGGCAATGTTGAAGTACCTCAGTTCATAAACATTCCGATCCTTGTTGGAAGCGATCACTCTAAGCCAATCTCGCACATTGTGCTTCTTAAGATACTTCTTTGTCAAGTACTTCAGATACCTGAACCCCAGGAAAACAACAAATATACTTGTAAAACAATGCAACAACAAAACAAGGACCTACTCTGATTTTTTTTTAAATAAATGTTTAAAAAAAAACCAAGGTGTAATGGCAAAACAGCTATAACACCCCTCCGCATACGAAAATTTCGTAAGTGTTGGAACACCATACGTGTCACAATCACCGAACTAGAAGTACAGAGCAAAAATCATGGTGTGTTTTGTCAGAGTTTATCATTTCAGTATTTCAACCACAAAGTAGCTCAATGTAAATACTTGGGCTCCGTAAAAATATTACATCTAACATATTTAACAATCTTTTTTGCCTCTACAAACAGTAGATAAAATTAATAAAAGAGTAAAACAAAGTATCAAACATTTAATATTTGTAAACAATGCGGATTTCAGTTAAAAGTTATGATTCTTTCGAGCAAATGAACTTAATGAAGCTTTAACATTCGGATGGGTATGCAGTTTAATGTCCTCTGATATCTATAAGAGCCTGACAGTTAAAAGCACCATTACTATCATCACTGGGATGACCAGTTATCAGTGCAAAATACAACTGATCCTCTATACACAGGTGCAACATTACATAAATAAAGCATTCTAAACAGAAATCAGAACTAAATAAAATTCAAATGTCTGATATCAATCTCACCTACTGTATAAATGAACTCATGAACTCTATAAACTAACCAGACATCCAATTAGTCATACAAGTAGCAATCACAAAAGATCAATCAAATTACCTCTTAGAGAAGTTACTGTCAGAAGTGACAGTGATCTTGCTCTTCTCCCGGGTCACACTGACGGCATCACCAAGTGCACCGGCCTTGCCTCCAACCTTGATCCTCTCCTGAAGAAACTTCTCCAGGGATGCAATGTCCATGATCTTGTCCTCCACTGGCTTTCCACAATCAATGGTGAAAGTTACTCCCTTCTTTTTCCCCTTGGGACCTGCTGCGGCTCCTCGACTCATTGTCGATTATCTTCTGCAACCCACACAAATCAAATCAATGCCTAAGATCAACTAGAGAAATATGTCATCTACATACAAATTTGATGGTCAAAACACGTGTATAATATACCACACAAAGCATAACAACACAAAATATGTAACAGCTAACTGATTTATACACAAATATATGAAACCCTTTTCCTACAGGGCTAGGTTCCAACTGCATCTCTAGAAAATAAAGTGGAACAATCAGCTATTTGCTTGTAAAACTTGATAATTACATCACTGAACACAAAATTTCATAAGCTGGAAGACAGGAGCAGATAGAGATATGCATATTCCAAATTTTCATTTTTGAACTCAATCTAAAAACACCATCAATTAAATTTCAATACCACAATCACCTATGAGTTCACAAATCTAGAAATTTTGAATCCCAAAACAACAGCAACTGAAATTCTGAAGTAAACCCAAAAAGAAACTAAAAATAAAAAATACAATATTATCACCAAAAATGTTCTCATCCGTAGTGCGCATTGGAACCGAACAAAAAGAGAACGAGGGGAAAATATAGAACGTACCGAGAGTCGAGCGAGAAAGAGAGAGGGGTGATGAGTTCTGTTAGACAATGAAGAAGACGGCCAAGAAGAAAAGAGTTTCGCGGCGGCAGTATGCTAATATACAGAGAAGAAATGAGTTAGGGTTTACTAATGTGCTGAGTTTTGTATCCCGTGTGCACTGGTGTATGGTAATGCGAAGTTTCAACCACTAACAAAATGACACGAGGTACTGTACAAGGCCAAAACTCCAATGACAATTTTTCTCTACACACGATTTTTATTTTTATTTTTATTTTTTCCCCAAACATAAGCGAATTTCTTTTGTCTTGGGTAAAAAACATGTAAATTATCTAATTTGCGGGAAGATGGAACGAACTCGATTGTAAGGGGCGCGAGTTCACTACCCAAGTCAATTGGTCTAATCTACATATGCTTGTATTAAATTAAACATTACATAATTGGGTATACAATATGTCATAATTGGACTTAATTGAAGGCCGGAAACCTGACCCAAAAAAATATATTCAAGGCCAAAACCCATAATATCTTAAATAAGATGGCCCATAATTGAAAGGCGAAATTTAATTTTGGTCCATATAATTTCAATTATGAATTTAACTCCATGTTTATTAGTTGTTGCAGTTCTAGGACAATAAGAGCATGTTTGGTATTCAACTTGAATCCAACTTTTTAAACTCAAAAACAGAATTTGAGTTCAAAACAAAAAAAACCTGTTTGATAGCCCTATTTTTAAAAACTCAAACTCAAGAACAACTAAAAAAAACCCCTAATTAGGGGTGGCATTTTAAACCGAAAAACCGAAAAACCGCAAAAATCAACCGATAATTTACCGCAATGAAACCGCAATCGCGGTAAACCGAACCGCATTTGCGGTATTAAGAACCGAACCGCATTTGCGGTTGCGGTTGCGGTATTTGATTTTCAAAACTTGCGGTTACCGCAAACCGCAAAGTATAGCCACA